ACACAAAAGAAGGAAGAGGTTGCTCAAGACCATTAATGTCAACGCTGCTGTCCGAGAAGCGATGGCTTATAGAAAACATGAGTTTGTGCAATCTTGATACGATCTCGAGGATCGGTTATCGTCTCGTCCCTCAGGGCTTGGAGAATGGCCTCTGCTGAAAACTCCCTGAAGATTCGAAGAACGAAAGTAATTATCAGGCAGGTTTTCATGGGCTTGTTCCATATGCCCTTACAAAATCCAGAGAGAACAAAAGCAACTGAACTGAATCTCTTTGTACCTTGTTATTAGTATACCATAGAGCATCTTTAGAATTGGGCAAAGCTTAACTGGAGCAACAGGCTTTTCATCTTCACGGTGTAGAACACTCGAGCTGGACTGACTGAGCAATTCATAAAATGCTTTCACCGCAGAAACCCCCTGCCAGAACCATCTCATTCTGTCAGTTCACTCGATGTATAGCTCAGGCTTTAAAATAACTGATAGGAAAGAGAAGGAAAAAAAAAAAAAACAAAAGATAGCCCCATAAAATCTGGGATGGGTTTGGTTGATGGGTTGTTTGAGGTTTCATTATGGCTCAGTTCAGGAAGCTGTTGGCACGTGGTTCTTTCAAAACTAATTTAGATTAAACTCAAATCAATCTCAATTTTGGCCAAGTTTTGCAACCGCCTAAGTCCAAGCCCAAGTCCCCCGCTAGTAGATATTGTTCTCCTTGGGTTTTCCCTTTCGAACTTCCCCTCAAAGTTTTTAAAACGCGTCTGCTAGGGAGAGGTTTTTACACCTTTATAAAGAATGTTTCGTTCTTGTCTCCAACCGATGTGGGACCTCACAATCCACCTCCATTCGGAGCCCAGCGTTCTCGCAGGCACTTGTTCCTCTCTCCAATCGATGTGAGACCTCATAGTCTTAACCCCTATTTTCACCTTCCCAAACCTGCCATCACAAATTATGCTGCTGCCATGCTATAATACAAGCACATGCATACACGATCGAGCCAAAGAAGCCCCCCTACTTAACACCAGAGCAGTGTAGGACATTCAAAAAGTAACAAGGACAAGAAACATGTATTTAGTATCGAAAGTATCCAGAGCAGCTCAGAGGAAGATATTTAAGACTTTCGACTTTGGACTAGTATTACCCAAGGACAGCATACAACATTCTAAGTCGAGATCTTTCCAAATGTGGTACTATGGGAAAAGGGAACTTCCGTGGGCCAATAGTTGCTGTGGGTTGGGTTGCTATGGTTGCTCAATCGGTTGATGAGGGATTAAGGATGCTTGAAAAGAAGTTATAAAGATTATTGATAACGTTTTCTTTCAAGCTTTTAGCAAAGTATTTTTTTCTATCCTACTTCTCAGCAAACTGTAACATATTCCAAAAAAGGTGTTTCTCCTTCAAAATCGCTTTATAAATAACATACCTGAATCATACCCTTGCCTTTGATGCTATCACCCATTTCGAGGCTCAGCTTTCCTTCAGCTAATTTTTGCCCATACCACGCATTACGGCCTTTCAATAGAGTAACATAAGTGTCAGCCAGTAAAGGTCCCGCCAACTTCTCTGGTTCTTCCGTCAATAGATGAGTAATAAATATCATTTCCGAAGTGCAGTGTGCAAAGTATACAGCTTTGCTGGTGGCACTCTCTTTTGTTAAAGCTGCCACCATTCCTGTGGAAGAAATGCAAATTTTTCTGTGTTAAGCCAAAGAGGCTGGGGCAATGAAGATTCATCCCTTATATGATAATTTTTTCATCCATGCAGCATAAGAATAAAGTTAATCAAATGTTGATCACAGTAATCAAGCGTAGGAAAGAGGCAGAATAAAAGTTTGGATTCTAAATGATCCACACACATCTCGATCGTCTGTCCATTTTCCTATTGAATAAACAATCAATCCATGATGTCAATTAAAGTAAAGTTGTAAAGAAAATAGAAACCAAGTTGAACCCTTCATTCACAAATTTTTTTCAGTGATCTCAGTAAATTTGATGCAATAATATTTTGTTTCCTAATTGTAAGTAGAGATCTGGAACTAATTTAGGCAAAATATTTCTAAGAACTAGATCGAACATATTAAGTTGCAGCCAAGACAGAGAATGAAAAGACAAACAATAAAGGCAAGACTTCTAATAAACAAATAGGAAATGAGCATTACCGGCTCCAATGGCATAGACATTCTTTAATCCGCCCATTACTTCATGGGTAACAAGGTCGCCATTGTCCCACACAATGAAATGGGGTTGCCTCAAAAATTTTGCCAGGGATTTTCTCCACTTTTCAGCTCCGCAAATTCGAGCATTGGCATACTCCCTATTGTAAATCTCCGAGGCAATATTTGGTCCACCAAGATAAAGAATGTTCTCCGATGGAACTCCAGCTGCAAATCAGTAATGTCACAACTTAAAGGCAATACCGTATGTTCCCACATGTCCACACATGTAAACAAAGGGAAAAAACGGAAGAAAAGAAATACTCCTGTTTGGGTTTCCCCCCTCCCAATGGCATCTTTTAGTTACAAAGACTCGAAATATTTTGACTATCCAAGATCATATTTAGGGAGTGCAAGTTTTCATATGACTCAATAAGCAGGAAACGAACTGTAACAGCCTAAGCCTACTGCTTGCAGATATTGTCTTCTTTGGGTTTTCCCTTTCGGGCTTCCCCTCAAGGTTTTTAAAACGCGTTTGGCTAGGGAGAGGTTTCCACACCCTTATAAAGAATGCTTCATTCCTCTCTTCAACCAATGTGAGATCTCACACAAACCCTTGGAAACTACAAGATATATGAATAAAAAACCCAATACTATTTGATTCAAAGCAATACTTAAAATATACAAGAAAAAAGGTTTCAGGCAATTAATTTACTTTCTCATCGTTCTCATCATTCCCATTCCATCTGAGCCTAAACTCGATTAACCTGAGCTTATCAAATTCGGTGTTAGAAAAACATCACTGAACCTAGAAACCTCCAAACCAATAACTTAGTGCAAAATATATGTAATACATTCTTGAAGTAAGGCCCTAGTTGCACAATTCCATAGAACTTCAGCTCTGTCTTTGAACCATACCCATCCAACAAGTGGACTATAAATATGAGATAAAAAGAAAACAAGTGGACTATTAAATCTCGATCTCTTACACTGATACCACATCATGTTAAGTCTTTACTATAGCTGTTAATATAGTTTTTTCACTACCAAGGGATATAAACGATACCAAGAGGAAGCAATCTTACTTGCGCTGTTAATCATCTGAGTAGGAGTTATTATCCGTGGTTGAGGGTCCAACTCAGCCTCCACACCCTTTGATAAAGAAATGATAACAGGCATCGTTAATCTCTCTTTCCAATACCTACGCATTTCGTCGAACACTTGGCGGGTGTCGGTCGAAGGCAAGCCATTCACCACAATGTCAGCATCCCACACAGCCTCCTGCAAATTGTTGACAACCTTCAAAGGGCAAAGAGGCGTATCAATCATATTCAAGCAGAACCCATCTTTCAATATCTCATCTGCATACAGAGTTCTGTCACCTAATCTAGCTTCCACATATTTCAAATATGCACATCGCCTAATCAATCTTCTCAACACATCTTCCCTTGAATTTATCACTTCAAATAAATGCTCTGCAGTTTCTTTATCCACTGTTCGTCCATGTCTTCTCCAAATCCTTATCTGAACTTTCTCTCTCAAATGACCATAACTCTCTTGCAGCATCGCAATGAAGACACTGCCCCAAGCACCCGCTCCAACGCCGACGATCCTCAGTGGATCCCCATCGGCTTTTCCAAATTGACGACGAAGATCGTCAAGCTTCTCCTCCTGAATTGAGCCATTTGTATGGCTATTTCCGTCGATAGTATCAACCATTTTCTTCTTTCGAACTTGCAGAACCAGAAATCGAGCTTCGGGATTTAAACAGCTTGTTTCTAAATCGAATTCAATCGGGGTTTTATAGGGGCAAAAAAATGGATTCCCGAAACTAAACAATTTTTACGTACCGAAATCGAAACGTGATTTCGCTTTTTCATGCTCCAGCTATTATCGAACCAAAACAAACCGACATCCGTGCAAAATTCGAGACCTAAAATGCAGATTCATCGACACCGACAAGAACCGCGTAATACAGCGCGCAGAAATGCAATTTAACAGCGCATTTGACAATCTGCCTCCACGGAGCAGTCAAACAAGATCTTCGAAGTTTCCCTTACTTCTTCAAACTCAACTTTTACCAAAAGTAACCTGAAAATGACATCGACAACAAAGAAAATCAACTGTATGAAAAACTCGAAGCCAAGTTATACGAATAAAAGCACAATCAGCGCCGTTGAATCAAGAACAATCCAAATTTCCTTTTGACCAAGTGATTATGTAATCCATTAATTTACAGAGATAAGAGAAAATTGAGAAGAAGAATGATGAAATCTGCTGTAGAATCTTCAATTTTATTATAAATCAAATTCCGATAAGATTAAAAATGGGGAAAGCAAATATATGACTCTGACGTGGCAGCAAATACGCGCTTGATTCCTAACACAAACCTTCAATAATTTTTTAAAAAATTCAAATAATATTTAAATTCTGTTAAATAATCTCTCAAATTGTATTTCTGATTGATCCTCTTTAAAATAATATCTATTAAAAAAAATATATAAATTAATTAAATATTGAAAATAAAATAAAATATACTATAAATCAAATCAAAAAAAGAATATTAATAAGATATAATATTTAAGATATATTCCATAAATAATATATTATCCAATATTATATCTCAACTAGCGTAAGTAAATAGTTTTCATCTATAGAGTGATACTTACGTATGTTAAATTGTTTCTATCAGTAGAGTAGTTATAAATATTTTTTTAAAGAATTAATAGTGTTAATTCTATTTTTAAAAAAATAACAGTATTTTTTAAATATGATGGTAAATATTTTTGAAATTTTTAAAAAATTAAATTTTTTTTTAGATATATATTTAAAAGGAGATTGAATTTTTAAGGGCAATAAGAACACATACGGATTCTCTTAATTGCTAACCTGCAAAAGCTAGAGATGCAGACGGCCGTACAACCATGAACTAGCAGTAGAATCGAATCCGCTGTTGTGTTGTCCGTTCTGGAAAGAGAAGAATCGAAAATCAATCAGGTTTGTGACTCAAAATCCCTTTCATTTCATCGCCATTCTCCGACTCGAATTTGTTCCGTTCATGTGTTTTGGTTACTGATTTTGATATCATTCCACTGGATCTTGATCTTGATCTTCCTTCTTTTTTTTTTTTTTTTTCCACATACAGTTTTGTGCTATTGATTCAATTTGGCGATCTTTTGGTTGAATCCAAGCTAATGTACCCTGAATCTGAGCTTTAATGTTCACTATTTCCTTGATTTCATTTTGTTCTTACTGTCTCGCTTTCAGCAGTAGAATGAGTTCATTCACGATTTTGATGTGCTGGATTTTTTTTTATATTTAACGCAGAATTTTCTGCTTTCTGAAGATTCTTGGTTAGAAAAGAGGAGCTGTAATCAGGACTGGACGATTATCTCTTGACGGATGGCAGCATCGGCAAAAAATCTCGCGGTTCTGGATCAGTCAAATAATGGCGACTGGACAGTTGTTCTACCTCGTCGCGGCAGGCAGAGGAAAACTTTTCCGAAGCTCAGAAATCGAGAAGATCAGCGGACTTGGTCTCCCACTGATCAGGCTAATGATACAATCAGAGAATCGAAACTGTTGCAGAAGATGGAAATCTGTATTAAGAAAGTTGAGAGCTCCCAATTTTATCGAACTCTTATTGACGAGCTTGGAACAACGCCAGTCTTGGAATCCTTAAATAAGGCTTTGGCATCCGAATCAAAGATGGAGATGGTAATCTATGGCGTAGGAAGCATAGAGAATTACGAAAATCCTCGATTGCAGCTCAGTCTTGCAATCTTGTTGAAGAGGAAATTTAGTTGGATTGGAAGTTTGGAGGTGTTCGATCCAATTCTTTCTGCAACCGAATGTCGGGTAATGGAATCCTTTGGTTGTTCAATCCTATCAGTAAACGAGGAAGGACGGCGATGTGCGCAGAAGGCAACATTGTTCTTTATGCCCCATTGCGAGGCAGGGTTGTACAACAATCTTTTACAGGAAAATTGGACGGTGGAGCTGTTGAATCACGTTGTGCTGTTTGGAAATAGCTTTGAGATCTATGGACAGTTTGTATCTGAATTCAAAAGCTCACCCGTTGTTGATTCAGCGAAGTATATTTTAGCCTCAAGAAAGTTCACACGCGAGATCAAAATCAAGACACTTTCAGATGATTATTTTGGTGCTTTCCATGATTCGAGTTGGCATTTTTTCAGCCCTGTTTCACCGACGGAGCTGCAATTCACAGATCTTTGAAGAACATTGTCTAGTGATTGGAAAAACAGCCAGGTAAATGCACTCTTACAATTGAACATGGATTTTGTTCTTTTCCAAATATAGGAATGTTCATCATTTGTGCCATGCTTGACTCACATTCCAATATGGTGATAGCCTTATGAGGACTTGAGAACCATTTCTAGCTAAGCATCGACTAACATCAATTGACTATACTTGATCAATTGTTTGAATTGAATATCATTGTAGATCTTGATTGTTGTGCTTTTAGGATCAAAATAGAATCGATTGTGTAGTAAATTCATGAAGATGTTGTACTCCTAAGCCAAGGACCCATTACCAGATCATTTGAGCTTTTATTAGTGGGGGAAAGTTTTACTTCCAACCATGAAAGATGACCTTGGAATGAATAGATCTGATGATGTGTTTGATAATGTGTCACTGACCATACTGATGCCTGCAAAATTCACTGAATTTTAACTGACCTCAAAAGTAGATATCAATTACTGCTGAGCTATATAACTATATATAACCATATGAAGGTTTAGATTTACCTAAATATTGCAGTGCAAGATCCTCTTTCAACCATAATAAATGACCTCAATTTCCAAACAAATCCCTAATAAATGAATGAAAAAGGCCAAAATATTTGCTAACAGTGAGAAATATGCTAATATGAAGAACAAAATATTTGTCCTCAAATAATTGCAATGCTAACTGGCCACCTAAGAAAGAAAGGACCAATAAACACAGCGGAAACAAACAAGGGTAGATTAATCTAAGCATATATATTCCACCACTCTTTTTTATTTACACATTACATATCAATTATATACAACAGCTACACAAGGAACATCATCCCTTTTCTTGTTTTTGCTAAACTCATTTGATTGGGATTGGATTCGAGGTTCTTCCATCATAGCCAACAAAGTAATTTCCAAATCTTGTGCTTTTGGATCAGTAGCCATCTATTGTGTGAGAGGAATGCATTCTAGCTCAATCTCAAGGACACCTTTCTCCACATTCTGCAATCTTAGAGAAATATCCTGTCTGACCTTTCCATCTATAAGGTTAATGACCCCATCTTTTACCAAGGTATTGTCGGTACTCGCCACCCATTTTCCCAGCTGCATTGATTCATCAATTGTGGACTTCTCATACGCCTTGGTCGCAGCGACCAACGGTTGAATGTCGATTTCAGCCTCACCCATGAAGTCATCAGTTGAAAATGTGTCCTTATCATAGACGAGCTGTAGAAATCATCTTTTGGTATCTTACTAAGAGGAAATGATCTAAAACAATCAAAAGCTTAAGAACATAGGATCATACAAGAGGCTCCTTGATGAACATTATAGAATTTAAAGCCTAAGAACACGATGATATAAGAGATGTGTTAACGAAGCTGCAGAAATCATTATTTGGTATACTACTCACTGTAAATGATCTAATACAAAATCAGACGCTTAAATGCATATGCATATTGAATTCATGATTTCCTTCTCTGATGTTTTAACATTTGCAAAGATATGTCGATGCTTACCACTTTCAATGGAGGGATATTCTCGGGAATTGACAACATTAATCTCTCGTTCCAAACTGGGTTAAGGTTGCTCTTAATAACACGAGTCTTCACTGACTGCAATATACGACAATAGAAGTCATTACCAAATAGCAAAGTAGCTGATACCAATCTTCACCCTAAATGTGGACCAAAGTAGTGTAAGAGAGAGGCTCACTTGTTGACCCAACATGAGAATTACGTAGGGGTCGCTGGTCACCACGTCTCGGACAGCTAGGTTTGTGCCTCTAACCACATTGACCTTAACCAAGCCAACAAATTCAACCATACCTGCCTACAAACATTACATCTGAAGTAATAAGATGCAATATCCATATCAAACAAAAAATTCAAGCCACAACACTTGCTTTTGGATTTCATTCTCTAATCCCCAACATAAATTTGACTGCTAGCTCAAAGTTCCAGCTTTAATTTTTCAACTTTTCATTGATGGAGAAGGTGCCATGGTACGCATTTATATCGAGAGACGACTAATTTTTGGCTAATCAGACCATGCTGAACTCAGTAGAAACGATGCGCTTTTTCAGTGCCATCCTCTTGAATGTGTTGTCCATAACTTAAAACACAAATTTATGTGGCTCCATGGTATCAAATGATCCCTATTTTGTTAGTTCCAAATGTTCATAATTGGGAGAGAATGTTATCAACCAAAAATTTCAAAACAAAGTGGAATTTGCAATTCTCTTCCGCACTCCACACACAACTTAAAAGCTGAAGGAAATTATTAATAAGAAAAATCCATAATCAAAACGCAAAATAGAAAGAACAGTTATTACCGATGTTTGTCTGGAGACTGAAGGGCTTCTCTTGTCAAAAGTCTTCTGCTCACTATCTCTTCTAATTATCCGGCTGGTACGAAATACATGCCCAATGCGATACCTAGTAGGTTGTTTCTCATATGGCCTTTTGTCGTTGGTTCCATTGTTGCTTGGGGTGTTACTTAGGGAGCATGATGAACTGCTTTTATTCAATAAGTTGTTATCACTAGAATTTTGACTGCTGGCGTTATAAAATTGCAGCAGTACATACTTTCTCCTAAATTTACAGAAAATGTGATTCTTTAATAGAATATCCTCAATAATTTGATTTCCTCCATACATGAAATAACATACACTTGTGATACCTTATAAAGTCGTGGCGGTCCTCTATACAGGAATCTGGTTTCGGTTTTGTGTGCCCATCGGTGATGCAAGCTTCATACTTCATGTTTACATCTGTGTTTCCACCGATGCTCATCAAAGTATTGACTTGTTCGTCTGTCCAATTATCCAGTTTCACTGAGAAAACCTGACATTTATTGTTGATAAATTTAGTTCACAAAATGCATTGCATGAGATTAGAGCATTCAAGAATGAGATTCGAAGTCAATATGATAACAGTAAATAGTTTGCAGACCTGCTATTTGGTTCTTGGTTTTTGGTAAGGAAACTTGAATTCTTAGCCAAATTCTAATTCTAACCACAAAAACAAGTTTTTAAAATCTGCATTTTTTTAGTTTTCAAAACCTAATTAAGATTTCGAAAACATTTGTAAAATATGGACTTACAGATAAACTTGGTTTGTTTCTTAAAAAAACCAAATGGTTATTAAATGGGACTATCAAAATTCAATCAAGGAAGGTCGATATAATTAAAAGGTCACATAAGCAAACACTACCTATCTTCAAACTACTACAGATCAACCAAATTTATATTTACTACTGAAACAAGTCTTTGCATTATGCTCATGGATTACCCCTACTAATCTCAGGAGTTCGTACATTCCAAGGCCAACTTCTAGAGATAGCAAAGGTTTTAAATTAAGGTCTCCACCTGGGGCTTAAAACCAAGACTTTATAGGGTTGCTCAGAATATCCCAATCTCTTGCCATCAAGAGCCCCCCTTAGGGTTCATCCATGATTTTCCACCAGAGTTGTACTCGACAGAAATTATACTGATTTCTTAAAGCCCGAACATGAACTATTCGAGTATTCAAAATTTAGAGCAATATTACACTCAAAGGAGTCAATGTGATCGTCCATATCTAACTTTCATTCATTTGGGTACACTGTTTCAAAGTATTTTGAGGGTTGATGATGAGTTTTAAAAGATCAAATGCTATCTATTATTTGGATTGTGATTCTGAAATATCAGACTTTTTGACAATGTTCTTTATGATGTCGTCTAGTGCCATAAAATTTTCTAACATGAAAAAGCATATCCAAAACTATCACGTCATCAAGCAGCACAGTCAAGACGTACCTTATGTGTTTGCTATTAGGGTTATAAAAATGCCATAAGAAGAGAAGGAAAAAGAAAAGGAGAAACCTTAGAGATATGAACTCCTAGACTTCTGTGTACTCCAGAACACTTTATACAGATAAACACTCCCAAATTTAACGATCTGCATCCATAAACCAGAGGTTAAGAACAAAATACTAAACTCTGAATATTGAATATATATATGTTGAGAAGTGTAAGTATATATCAAAGGTAAGAGTTGTTACATTTTGTATAATGTTGAAACCACCTAAGACACCAAGAGTGTTAAAAGTAATTGATCCTTTTGTAATTTATACAATGTCAGAAGAAATTTGAGTCCTAGGAATGGACATATCCCTTGAACAATTCAACGGCATTGAGCTTTTAAAATTTTCATCACATTTCCCACACGCCACATTACAACTTAATCAGGACTTAAAGAACTTGTGTGAACGAAAAATTAAATAAAACATTTAGACTTACACCCATTTTGGATCCGGTGATCCGCAATCTGCACACAAGTTGTTACCAGGCTGACACAAGAGACCTTCCAATCTTTTCTGAGGTCCTGATTGAAGGAAACACAAATGAATATAGTTCACATAGCTTCTTCTACTATGTAAGGAGAATATATAAGACTAATAGAAACACACCTCATGTTCCAAAAGAACATAAAGATAACACATGATCGTTATCAATGAGATATTGATGCAACACTCGAGAAAGTAGAAACACGTGTATGCAACAGCGATTAGAATTGGAGAAACAAAATATTCTCATACTTAATCTGAATAAAAATATAACTAAAATCAATATCAGGTACAAGACCTTAAAATTTGGGTTCTACTTGTTTATAACATACAGCAAGACTGAGTTGACCTGTCTCTATCGTGAAACTAAGAGAGTGATCAGTATAGAATGCGGGAACTGGAAGCCACAAAAAAAGTTAAAGGAAAGGAAAACTGAAGCCAAATTGAGAAGGTTGCTATCATTTGATATTTGTGAGGAATCTAAACAGTGTCATCAACAAGATGCAAATGGACACAAATCCTATTCGACCAATAGTTAACCCCTTAATCGACCCTCGTCAACCCCAGTGAGGAATCTTGCTAAAGCGATTACTAACAGGAAGAGGGAAAAGAGAAAGATTGCCTCGTCTTAAGAAGAGAATTCTTACCCTGCAAGCTGAACACTAATCAAATAGAATAAAGAACAATGTACTATGGCGTGTGAACTTTAATCACATTTGATCAAGTTTTACTTTGGAAGACATTATGATCATATATAAACAGTTATCTAAAAAAGTACTAGAGAAAATACATGCAAAAAAATATACTGTGTTCATTTTCTACTATCTTAAAACGATTTTTAAAAATTATCTTGAAAAATTTATCAAAAACTGTTTTTCTATTAAAAAAAAAAATAGAAATTGTTTTCCGAACCCTTCTTCCAGACTACCTCTATAGCTATCTGTAGCACCCATAAAGAGGGCCTTTTTTTTCGAGATAAAAGGATACTGGTAGGACACAAGAGGTTGGGAGTATGACAGGAACAAAAACATTTTGACTCAAGACGGAGACATTCAAATGAAAGAAGAAAAGTTTTCTTCAATCTCTTTCTGAAGCTGGAAAAGAAGCCCTTAAAAACGGGGATCTTATGCAGGATGGCATTTTAGCACTTTCTTTAATCCACTACATCTCAAATCATAAGTGAAAACCAAAAGTTGCGCAATAGAAACAACGCATGCCTTAACTTAGCTCTATAAAGCTAGTCCTATGATCATGCTTGGTAGTCATCACCATTGTGCCTACGCCTTAACTCAGCTCTACCTTTCATTCTTTTAGATTGGAGTTCCCTTGTTATAGTTTGTTGGGCTCCTTTTGCTGGACTTTTGTTTGACTGTGTATCTTCTTGTATGCCCTTGTCTTTTTCATTTCTCTCAATGAAAACTCTGTTTCTTACAAAAGAATATGTTTGGTAGGCATCATGCTCTAGTAGCATACATATAATTTTCAGTTGACTTTAAAGTTCTCGTTGTAGCACACCTGCGCCCCTAAGATTAAAGCTCTTTTGTGGATTCACACACTATCAGCCTTGACTTCCCTCATACCACTAACTTTGTCCCACGGGCCGCCCTCATCTTCCCCCACTGGGAAAAAATTAGGGAACTTCAAGAGTACTGCATCAAATGGAATGGGAGAAAAAAGGTAGGCAAAAAAGGTGCTTCCTGCTGGCAGCACAGACAATCAAGGTTGTTAGCTGGAGTATGGTCGTCCAAAAGTTTAATCACAGCAGCCCATTGGAAGCCTTGAAGAGTGAAATTTCTGACAGCTAAACTGAATATTCTGATGTTACCCAAACTACAGTAAAAGATTATTTCTAGAGTTAAGAATGATCCCTATTTCACATTTAATTAATCTCATGTCAGTACTTTTTCAGAATGGGAGACATTAATGGTCAAAGAATCAGCAGGTTGACTAGACTTTACATCTGCTACAATAAAACCTTTTATAGCATTTAGCTCCATCTACTTTCTATAATATTAATAAGTGCTATTACAGATATATAGATATAATACCAGAGAGCTGTTGATCATTCTTCCAGTTCCAGCTTTGTGTTTCTGCATCTGAATACAAGAAATCATAGAGAATTGAAGAAATGAAAAAGAGTGAAAGATCTGACAGCTAAACTAAGCATTCTGATGTACCCAAGCTACAGTAAAAGATCATATACTGAAGTTAAAAACGATTCCAAACTCAGTAATCAACTAATCTCCTGAGGTTGAGTTTTTTTAGGAAAACTTGTCATCTACTCAGCAGGTTGACAAAACATTGCATTTTCGACATTTAACACTTGCTCCAGGATTTGGCTCCATCTTCTTTCAAAAATATTCCTTAATAAGTGCTATTGCAATTACAAAGATTTTGAGAGATGAAGATGTAATACCAGACGGCGTTCGACTGCAGTCCCAGCCTGGCATTTCTGAATCTGGAAACAGGAGATCAAAGAGAGAAGCGCCTGGCACATTTGAATCGTGTCAAGGAGATTTCAATGTAATGGAGGTGCACGAGCTGAGCTCTTCATAGGCCAGTGACAAAAGATACATGCTCACTTTTTTTAAGCTATATGCGTAATAACCCAATATTATAGATAACAGAGAACAGGTCCCAACAGTTCGTTTCAATCCTAAAGTAAGACCCTTCCAAAACATAATCAAATGGGACAACTGTATTCAAATCCATCTGGATCCATAAGAAACTTAATGTGCCCAAACAGTTCTTCAACCTTAAGTTGGGGAAGATCAATTATATAACACATCATCATAATGTATCATCTCAATAAAAAATCAAAAAGCTTTGGAGTAGGAATTTGAATCTCCGACCTCATAGAAAGAAATAAATGTCTTAACTGTTGGTGTTCATGTTACCTACTACAAAATGTGTTTAATATATTGTCACCATCATGCATACTCTCATAAAAGGAAGTATATGAACGAAGTTTTCAATGAATTGATTTTGTAATATCCAAGATCAAGGTTTAATAACTATCAGCTGGAAATATAAATTATCTAGCTCATAGGAGAGATTACAATGGTCGAAAGGATACCATACATTTCAAATAATTAAGAAGTGTCGATCTCACATTCATCCTAAATCTGTCTCTCCACCGTCTCCACCTCATTTATGATAGCCCATACTCCAATTTCTTTTACTATAGTCTATAATCCATATTTAATCGAAAAACCAGTTCTATCTGTAGTGATATATTGTTCCACTTGCAATATAACCTCCAAGGGGCATCTAGAAAATCAAAAACCCTTCCATCAAACATAAACTTGGAAACCTATCAACACACTCCGAATAGCATCTGATTTTTTTCATCTCGACTATGAAGCATGTGTTGTTTGGATGGGATGGGTCAATATGATCTAGAGCATTCAAAAAGCTTCTAGTAAATGCATCTAAAGCTTCCCAATAACTATCATTGGAAAAAATGAAAGAACACAAAAACAAGCGAGATGGCACGAAAAGACAACCCAACAAAAGAAGCCTCAAAGCTAACTATACAAAAAGGAGCTCTAATTCAAAATAATAAGACCTAGAGGAAAAATACAAAAATCCTTATAGACTGATGCCCAAGTAGAAGCAGCTGCACTTTCAAAGGAAGAGAAATCAAATTAATCAGTAGTTAACTTAATCAACACTATCAAACCCGCCAAACTGGCCATTTAGCTTCTGTAAGGTCCCTTAACTTCCTATTGGATAATTCACTGCTCTACTTAGAATTGATATTCAAATCTTTAGCCTCAAAGTTTTCTTCCCGTCTTGGGTAACCGTAGAACTTCCACCAAGCTAGTCAAGTGAATTTTTCATTCTAATATCACAAGAATTCCATCCCTTCAATACCTCTCTCCCACGATTAATCAACACGAACACGAACAAATCTTGGGCTATTGGGATGAACAATCATTTGCAGAGATGAAAAATACCTGAAACGGCATTAGAATCAGCATTCTGGTGCTGGGTTGACATCTTGAGCCTCAAAAAACGTGCACACAAATCATGAATTAATGGGGCAATCTGAAAACAGCCATGCTCTTAGCTCATCCACTGGACCCCATTGATCTAGGTCGTAATCTAAAACTTGAGAGAGAGAATAATAAACATAGTGAATACTAAATCAAAGGAGTTTTTACAGGTTTGACAAAAGGACGAATGAAATGAACAGCCTAGATTAACATGATTCTGCCCTGGCTTCTTCTCTGCACGAAACAAAATCAAAATCCACAAGCAAGCAAATCAAAAACGAAAACCAAACACTTCGGCGCCAAATTTAAACCAAAATACACATAACAAACAACCTGAAAAACACCAATCGATGCTTACCATACAAGAGATTAGAAACGGAGGAGGCGCGACGCTGGCGATAGTTCAATGCATTTAAATGAAAATCTGCAAACGATTCCGCATACAGAAGGCAAGAAATCCATTCATAAACGAAAATTTTCGAAGAATTATCGAAAACCGATTTCAACGAAATTGTGTGGAAGAAATGCAGAGAAAAAACGGAAATCAGAGAGCAAATGTCATCATCAGAACGTGATTTTCATTGCTCCAAATTTTGTGTCGGTTAGCAACAAAATCGAATTGAATTGGAGAGAAAATAAAATCCAATTAAATTGGGGAGAAAATAAAATGGTCCGATGATTTTCCAAACAAATTCATCCGTTTTCGTCCGGTGAACGTAGTTTCATGGTTTATATGAAATGGATGTGATTTGAGTGATTCCAGAAGAGGTATTTAATATTTTTTAATTAGTTCATAATAAAATAATTAACAATTAATTACTTCAAAATAAAATAATTAACAATTTTCTTTTTAAGTAATTACGAATGAGAAAGGGTCAGAGGGTTAGTTTAGGCAGCACAAAAATAAATTCAAATTATTAATAAATATTTATAAAAAATAAAATAAAATAAAATATTTTTAATTTTGGAGGGAAACAATTACTAATTTATTTTTAAAATATCTTTGCAATTTTAATAATGTCTCAAAAAATACAATTGAACCTTAAAATGTTTCATTAATATTCTTTCAACTTATTAAAAAAATTATAAAATATATGGGTCTATCCCAATAGACATGTCTTAACAAGTTAAGATGGTCGAGCTGTTCCAAGACATAGGATGACATCATTATGCATGGTCGTGTTGTTGGGAACCAAGATGATGACTCTGATGCGTTGTTGAGAGAAACTTTGTCGTAGAGTAGACGCAAGGTCGAGTTGGATGACTTGACCTAATTTAGATGTAAGTCGGCTAGAGTCACAAACAATTGAACATGTACGCACGAGCAACGGTGCGACCAAAGAAGCTTGAATTACGCATAAGTTGTGTTCGGTTGGCGAAGGAGAACCTCACTCAAAGTCCAACAAAACGGGCTTGAGTCTCCTAAGACTTGTTATGAACGTGTCAAGATTATGACATCACACAGTTAAAAATGTAGGACCGTGACATTTGTCATAATCGCAATCTTGTAATAACGTAACAAGGATGGTATAACATTGAGAATTAGTAAAGTTTTAAGGACCAAATAAAAAAAAAAAAAAAATTAGGGAACAAATTGTAATAAGCATAAGATAAGGGGGGAAATATTATATTTGTAAAGTTCCAAAAAGCATAAAATGGAAAAGAAAAGGGACCAAAAGGAAATATATTTGAAATTTCATTTCACACAGCCAGTGGCAAAATCCCATACAAGCCAAAAGCTGATCCCTTCTTATCGTCCTCCTCAATGCTTCTCTCTGTCCGCCATTGATATACAGGCGTAGAAGCTCCACGCAATGTCACCAGCAACAGTTTCTCCGGCGATGGAGTCCTTAGTGTTGCAACTCCACGAAATCTCTGCTGTTAAGTTCGGCAACTTCAAGCTCAAGACCGGTATAAACTCTCCAATATACATTGATCTTCGCGTTATTATCTCTTATCCTTCGCTGCTCACTCGAATTTCCAAAACCCTAATTTCTTCTCTTCCTTCATCTACCTCCTACGATCTCGTTTGCGGCGTTCCTTACACCGCTCTTCCTATTGCGACTTGCATCTCCGTTTTAAACAATATTCCGATGGTTATGCGCCGGAAGGAGATTAAGGATTATGGCACTGCGAAAGCGATCGAAGGTCGTTACCGAGTGGATCAACGATGTTTGATTATTGAGGATTTGGTGACGAGCGGTGCGTCGGTTTTGGAAACTGCTGCGCCGCTGCTGGCGGCGGGAATGAAGGTGAGTGATGCGGTTGTGTTGCTTGATAGAGAGCAGGGTGGGCGAGAGAATTTGGAGGAGAATGGGATTAAATTGCATTCGATGATTAAGTTGAGCGAGGTGGTGAGGATCTTGAAGGAGAAGGGGATAGTTGGAGAAGAAATGGAAGGGGTGGTGGCGAAATTCTTGGTTGAGAATCGGAAGGTTGCGGTGCCGAAAGTGGAGAAGCCTGTTAGAGCTAAGTCCATTTCCTTTCAAGAAAGAGCGAGGTTGGCGAAGAATCCGATGGGAAAGAGGCTGTTCGAGGTGATGATCGAGAAGGAAAGCAATTTGTGCTTAGCGGCCGATGTTGGCACCGCCGCGGAGCTGCTCGACATCGCTGAGAAAGTAAGAGCATTCTAGAATTTCTGAATTTTCTAGGCTTTGTTCATTAACACCCAGATTAAACAAATGCACGAAATCATAAAGAAAGATGAAAATGAATTGGGTTTGAGGTAAAAACCATTTTGGTCAATCAGGTTGGGCCAGAGATTTGCTTGCTGAAAACTCATGTGGATATACTGGCAGATTTCACCCCCGACTTCGCTTCCAAACTTCGCTTGGTATATTTCTTCCAGAAACCTTCTTTCTTTGTACTTATTATAGACACAGGTTTGTTGTTAATGCTTGTTTGTACACGGTAGTATTGCTGGCCAGATACCTAGGTTGATGATAACAAGAATACGTGAGAGATCTCACGTCGGTTTGAGAGGGAAACTAAGCATTCCTTATAAAAA